TTTAAGCACAGTGTGGCTGAAGATTTGAATAAATTGAGGTGAACTGGCTTATTCTTCCATGAAAGGCTAATAATACACCAATAATTGTCTGAATATAACCATATTTGACACAAATATACAAAACGACAAACTGACAGTGTATTATGATTTCATTTGGAATTATACTCCTCAATAGACAAAGTAATTGCAAGGTGGAAACTAATTCCCAAAATGGTGCTCGGTTCCTTATTACCGATAAATTCTCTCAAAAAAACAGGTCTGCTGTGGGCCTCTTGTAGCTCACCATGAAAACATCCGCCTTTGAAGATTAAGGTTGTGGGTTTGATTCCCTGTCACAGATGTTAGATGGTGCTGTAGCAGTTGTTGTGAACAAACACTTAATTATCTTAATCTTAATGAAGGGTCTTCCTTAAAAATCCAACGATTTGCTGCCTTCTATGTCCAGAGACATGAAATTTGCTTATGCTGCTACTTTGTCCTAAAATGGTGTGTGGTTCCTTGTTGCTTCCTTCCAATAAAGTTTTGTTTCAAATACTGCAATTTTGCCACAGATGTCTTGTGGCTCACCATTAGAGCCTCTGCCTTTGAACTCCAGGGTCATGGGTTCAAATCCCTGTCAAGGGTAATGGTTAAACTGAGTTGGATAATGGTTAAACTGAGTTGTGTAGATTGTAGCAGATGTATCACCTAGTGATCTTAATCATAGGAAAACGAGATCTTTCTTAAAGATCTGCTGCCTTCTACGACCAGCAGCCACTACTGGACCCCGCAGACTGGACTATATATAACCAAAATTGTCAAAAAGAAAAAAAAAAAAAAAGTTAGTAATACAATGACAACTGAGCACATGATAAACTATTAAATATTACAAATATTAATATATCAAGGATGAATGTAAATAAACAAAAGAGGATTATATTACATATAAACTACACTCAATTAGCCACTGTAAAAGAGATAAGAAAAAGAATACAAACATGTAAACATGCCCATTGGGGAGGGGAAGGGGAGAAAAAAAAGAGTCCCTTGGCACACAAGTCTTCTTTCTAAATAATCATCTAAACAACTGACAAAGTGCAACAGTAAAGTAACAAAGTACTGAATTACAGAATTACACTACAGGTGGTTCCTCGTGGTGTAGCTCTCATTTTTTGAAGTTTAACAAAATGTAAGAGATTGCTCAGCCAACAGAAAGTAGATGGTGGAGTAAGTGATTTCCACCTGAGTAAAATAAGCCCTCTAACTAATAGAGTAGCAAATTCTATGAAATACACTTTGTAGCTTGATTTCAATAGAGTAGATGACAACACTCCAAACAAGATAGTTACAAGATCAACTGGTACATTCAGAATCTTAGAAAGGAATATATCAGACTAAAATTTATGAAGGGAAGGACAAGATGAAAACATATGGCTGGGGCTTGCTGACATCTATCACATAGAGGACTTACATCAGCAAAAAAATCTGAAAGCTTAACTATATTCCAATGAGTATGATGAAGAATTTTGAATTGTATAAGACCATGTCTGACACAGAAAGAGGAAAAGTGAACACAATGAAAAATTGCTTCCCATATATCACCCGCCATACTTTTCCCACTGGCTCTTAATAGTAAAGAAAGGGTAATTATATACTGAAAAAAAATCTAGCATACATATTTTATATTATACCTTTTCCGCTTACAGCAAAAAAAAAGTGGGAAAATGGGGCGTGTTGTCATGGACAAAGCTGCAGTCCTATAGATACTAAAAATATGCGTTATTAGGCAGCTGAAATTTGTTTAAGTTGTTGAAATGACACCCCAAATGATTTCCCATCGTTATACATATTACTAAAGAATGCAATACCTAGATCTGACCACAATGAAAATGCTCCACTCATTACAGATGGAAGAAAAGTGTGCTTGCGATGTAGAGGGGGCATGTAACAAGAATGCCTTAAGCCCGAAGTCATGTTTAAACTGCGTCCAATTCTTGAGTGTGGATCTATTACGTTTTTAATATAGAGTACAGCAGAACAATTTACTGAGTATAGAAGTGCTGATAAAGAGGATGCTCTACATGAAAAGAGCTCCATTTTTAGCCAAGAAATATGTCTTTTTATCAAATTGTAACCAATAGTGTATTACACGAAGATTAGTGTCCCAATAATAAAATTGAAAATTGGGTAATGCAAATCCTCCTGAGTTTTGGGGTCTTTCTAAATGTATTTTCAGAAGCCTTGGGGGCCTCCCACTCCAAAGGAATCCCAATATAATCCCATCTAATCTGTGGAAGAACGATTTAGTTCGGAAAATTCGTAAGCACTAAAAAAAAAGGTATAAGAATTTAAGAAGGATGTTTATTTTGATCAAATTAATGTGTCCAGCTGAAGATAGGAGAAGTAGTGGCCAGTGGTGTATTTTGTCTGTAGTCTGGTAACAGTAAGAACATAAGAAATCCTCAAAAAAAAAGCCCAAAGGACCAAAACATAAATGAAAAAAAAATTTAATAAAAAATAAAATAATAATAAAATAATAACAATAAAAATCAACTGCTGAATGCATTTTCTCTCCCCAAACATGTTATAGACCAAATTTCAGCCTTGGCTGCTCACTGGAGGATCTTATCCCTGACGTGATAGTAATGTACCCTGATAACAAAGGGCCACTGTGGTTTTCCCTCGTATAGCTTGGCTCGAAGCAAGCAATGTGATCTGTCGAGCAGGGGTTTCTCATCGAAACCTAGGATGTCTTGCAACAGCTGAGCGATGAAATCAGTCAGGCGCTGTCCCGCCAGACCTTCAAGCATGCCCAGCAAATTATGTCTTCTCGGTGTGCCTTCAAAATCGTCTCATTTTGCTTTCAGTTGCTTTACTTCTGAAGAGAGTTCAGTCAGTATGGCTTTGATACCAATAACAACACTGCTCAGAGATGAAGAGCAACTTTCCAGTTCATCAATGCAGGACAATGCATTGTTGACTTCTGCTGGCAAAATGTCGATTTCTTGAGGATAGGAGCAGAGACTTTGTCAAGTAGAGAAGAAGTCTTTACTGCGCGCAGTCTCATACCGAGCAAGTCTAACTAAGCTTACAATAAGATGGATTTAAATAGTCAACCATGTAAACCACACCTTCTTGTTGTCCCTTTATTTAAACGACCCAGAACTTGATGGGCGCTTGCCTCTACCTTTGTAATTAAAATACAGGTGTTGAGGCCTACCCAGGAATTTACAGCCCCATCTAGGAGCCAGGATGTCTCAGAGATATCTCTACAACAATGGCATTGCTAGATTGGGGAGCTATAGATAACCAGATGTAAAATAGGCTAACCATTGGAGGTTGTTACATGACAAAGGGACTGCTCTCCACAGCCCCCACATATCACCCAAGAGAGACCTACAAAATGCAAACAAGATTAACACAAAAGGCAAGGGAACAAGAAGAGGGTTCAAGAGAAGTTACATAAGTTAATAAAAACAATATTTAACAGTATCACGTGTCCAAGTACTCCACTACCTTGTTGGCCAGTAAAGGATTCAAAGATGACTGATAAATGAGTTGGTGCACCTTCATCATCTGATTTAAACCTGATTCAGAACAGCAATCTGGGGGGCTGTGGTGGCTGCATCAGCAAAAACTGGCTGTCAAAAAAAAAAACAAGAAGCTCACCAAATTCTATAGACCTAGGCTCATGAAAACTTTTGAAAAGAAGAAGTGTGGTTATATTGTCAGCTGTATATTTCAAAAGGCCAAAAATGTTACTTATCTACAGTCACTGTCCATTTTATCAGGTTTACGTACCATGTAGATTCATTTACTATCTTTACAATTTTAGACCTTGTCATGGTATGATGTCTTTGTCTAGGCGAGGGGCTTGCGTGCATCACAGAAGCAGAGAGTTATGCTGTCTGGAGTTTTAACTCCAGTGAGGGTCTCTCATGGAAGAAATGTCTTATCAGAAAGGCCAGACTAAACCAACCAAGCTAAACTACAAGCAAAACCCACTTTCCATAAATGGGAGGGGGATTCAAAAAACACTGAATTTGATGCAGAAAGAAGAGACCATTTTAAGTACAATGCCAGATATTTATTTCTTTCCTCTGAGCTCCTAGTGCAGTTTGCCATGCTGCTCAGACCAAACAGATCAAAAGGTGTCTTTTCAATATATTGGTTAATCAGCTGAGTGGGTGATCATGCATAGTTTGCTGATTACTTGCATATATGACCAAATATTTTTTGGAAACATGGAAGCAAACACGCAGCCACACCTGACATCACACAAGCAGTAAAACTCACCAGTAATTCTCCTTTATGAATGTGCACATTATTTGCTCTTAATGTGACTGTAAATCTGTTGCTGCATTTCATGAATTTGGCCCACTGTCTTTACATTTCTGTTTTTCCAATGCACAAGTAATCTCATTTTTTAAAACAGCTGACAGAAGGCAATTTTATCAAAGCAAAAATATTCAACCCCCCTAAAATCCATCAGATTTGTTTGGATTACAAATGACACACAGATTGTTCCAGCCAGCATTTAACCACTAATTAATTTGAGGGTCAACCTTTTAAAATATGACACAGAACAACCTAAAACAGCTATAACCTAAAATAGTTTTCCTCCAGGAAACTCATTTGTAATATATCTAAATCCAAAAACACATAGGAGAGTCAAGTATTTTCAGTCTCTATTAGTTCTCAAGCAACATGGCTTATCACCTTGATTACACTGAATTTCAACAAACTAAGCACTAAATGTGACTCGCACCAGCCGATATTGTTCCTTATCATCGACAATATAATCTTATAATCTTATTGGCAAGAAGGTTGGAGAACCAGATATAGATATGATATAGTGAAACATGATTTTTTATTCAGGGGCCAGCAAGGCTTTCACATTAAAAAAATAACCAAACATAAATGTTCCTCTTTGAATCTCCAAAGCAGCTTAAAAATACGATGGTTTGAATAGGTTGATGTAAGATTTTGTGGCCTTTAGCCAGTGCAGGCACCACACTTACCTCTGAGCTGACCATCAACTCAGGAACACTATGCACCACGGAAACGGTTGCTGTAGAGATGGGAGCCTGCCGCTTTCCGTTCTTGTTCTGCAGCCTTTAAAAACATACACAGACAAAGACCTTTTCAGTCTGCCTCGAAACTCAAGGCTGAATATATAAAATAACTCAAAGTTAGGGTTAAGTGGTTTATTAAACTTGTTATTTCCATAAATAAATATACATACAATTATGACTTACTTTATCACTGACAAAATAGTAGTTTTAGAGAGTAAAAACAATGTGTATGTCATTATTTTAAAAAATAAATATACTACACCTTAATTTATCATTGACCAAAGTGATAAAAAGGAAAAACAAAAATGCGCCTTTACTCACTGTGTTAAATCCTGGCCACATTCAGCACACAGACCCTTCATCACAATGGGATGGCTGCATTCTTCTATTTTCGCTATGACATCCCTGTTACAAACAACAGCACATGAAAAGACCAGCTAAAATAAAATGTACACCAAGCTAAGTCAATGCACAAAGCAATTCAAAAATGATTTATTTCACTTGTAAATCATTGCAGAACATAGCAGTAAATTGTGAATGGTTTAAGTGAGCAGAAAGTTTATCATGTAATTTTACAAGTGCTCAATATGACCTCTGTACAGACATCAATTCAATCAACAGCCCCCCTAAACATGTAGTGTAGTGAGCAACAAATTAAACCTAGCTTTCCTCAATTTAAGGTCACTAAAGAGTAAAAAACTCTTGATCTGAATCTTATTAAAGAGCATAAGCTTGATTTTATGTTTTTAACAGAAATGTGGCTAAACACAATGGCACAGCAGCTGCTCCTGAAAACTACTGATTTCTGCACACAGTAAGACAGGGCAGGTGAGGAGGAATAGTGGCATGCATTTATAAAAGTGACTGCAAAAATACCTTACCCTGTGTTATTAGTTGCAACATATAGACCTCCAATCCAAACAGTATTTGTTTTTTGCCAGAAAGTACTAAATTAAAACTAATTTCAATTGTGTCCACAAACTATAATAAAATTCTTCTCTCTGATAACCCATCAGACAGTAACACCACAGAATGCATGTCTAGAGACACTTGATTTGAAGCAGCATGTGAGCAGCACTATCCACAAGTAGGTCACATACTCGATTTGGTAATCACTTAAGGTTTATACAAAAAAGTGTCCTTCATTTTTGATGTTCTCATATCACATTTCTGTATATTCTTTCAAGTCAATTTAGAAGTAAGGAAGAAACTACCTGAAAGTCATTCTAAAATGTTACAGTGACTCAGAAAAAAGTTGAGAGGTTTAAAAATGTTTATAATAGTGCACCAAATACCGCTCTGGCTCCTCTCTGTAATGATCTGGTCTCCGATCTAAACGCAAGATTAAACGAAACTCTTGACATTCTCTCACCAGTCAAATGGAGGAAAAACCTGCATACTCATAAAAATCCGTGGATGAATGAGAAAATACACCAGCTTAAGATAAGTTCTTGTAAATCAGAGCATTTATGGAAAAACTAAGTACATTATGATATTCTCAAAGAGAAGATATCCACCTACAATAATGCTATAAAAATTCAGTCATACCTCTCTGTCATAATTAATAAACACAAAGACAATACCAAAGTCCTTTTTATCACCATAGATCGACTAATTAACCCTGACTTTTTATGCTAGGCCTCAGTGATTTGTCCTTCAAAATTTGCAAAGAGACTGCAATTCATTAAAAAAAAAATGGCCTTCATAAGACAGATCATAGCTCAGTCCTCTGAAATAAATTACTATAACCATTCTGACAAAGGCCAATTTATAGTTCAGGCATCAAGTGTCGCAGTGCTGTAGGCTTTCATAGTCCTACGCCTGCAACAAAATGTCGGAACAGAATATCATCTGTAGGTTTTTTGAAACTACAAAAAACCTACAGATGATGATGCAGCTAATGAAAACCGGGAACCCGCACAGACTAGTCTGAAAACATCTGCTACAGTGAAACTGCATCAACAGTAGAGAATTTAGACGCGCTCCCGAGTGGCGCAACTGCTTAAGTGTTGGCCACCAGGATAGTTTGATTCCTGGTGATGCAACAGCCAGCTGTGGCCAGGAGTCCAAGAGAGCACAATTGGCCTCCCTCTCTCTCTGGGTGGGTAAGGATGGCCCCTGCTGCCCCCCCCCCATATCGAGCAGAGCGCCAGGCACCACTGCTAAGTGTTGTTTTTAGCTTAGCTTTTAGCCTGTTTTTAGCCCAACTGAGCAACCCAGCCGTGTTTTTACCTTTTTAAGCCTTGTTTTAAGTGCTAATTTTTTATCCGTCAGAGCCCCTGCACTGACTACTGTAACCACTGAATATGGACTGCTTATTTTATTTTTTATTTTAACCAACAAGCTGTTTTTGGGCCATGCCTGCCCTCGGCTCTCCCGCAGAATGTGATGGCTGTGCGCGGCTGAGCCAGATGATTGATAAAGTAGAAGGAAGACTTTCTGTGCTCTACCAGATCAAAGACGATGAGGATCTCCTCGACTCCCAGCTGGCTACAACTCGGGTGATCAGCACCGGGTTAGACAGCAGTCTTCCCCAAGCAGCTGTTACGGCTGTCTAGGACGAGGTTCACTGGCCTCAGCTAAACCCAAGGCCAGGGAGGTGTACTGCTCCACACCGCGCCAGGCTGAGCCAAGGTCCATTGCAGAAAGGGGTTTGCATGGAGGTAGGCGCTCTGCCCGCCACCCGATCCCACAAAAGGTCCACCTGAGCAACAGATTCTCTGTGTTGGAAGACACCATTCTTGCTGATAAACAGTCGTCAGTGCAGAACGTCCAAGTGAGCTCTTCAGCCATAAACTTCACCCCTGCTCCCTCCTGGAACTTCAGGCAGCGGGCCTGAAACTCCACCTCTAAGTTGGACGCAGCTAGGCAGCCAAACCCCTGCCCATCTACCCAAGCCATTTTAACCTCCACCTCCACATTGACTGCCTGACCGCTGCTCCCCGCCCTGGGATTCTGCCGCGCTGACCCCTCATCTCCCGCCACCGCTGGTTTCCAAGCCACAAACCCATTCCCGCCTCAACCTCGACCGACACGCAACCTTCTTCCACGCACTCTCATAGTAGGTGACTCAATCATCAGAAACGTTAAGCACCATACAGCTGTAGTTTACTCCATCTCTGGTGCAAAAGTCCCTGACATTGCACAGCAGCTTCCCAGTCTTTCAAAGAAATATAACTCAGAGAAGAAGAGAGTAATACATGTGGGATGTAATGATATTAGAAGTCAGAACACAGAACTGCGGAAAAGGACAAACCTGCTATGTTCTATACAAGATGATGGTGAATCTGTTTTTATCTCTCGACCAATTCCGTCACTGGGAAGAGGTTAAGAACGTTTTAGCCGCGACTTACTCAAGTATTTTTGTTTTTGGTGAAAGACCCAGTACTCTTCATTAAAATCCAAAAGAAATATCAAAGAAGCAAAACAACTTAATGATTTTATTAATCAGACAATCTGATTTTTATTGATCCATCTCCAATTACTTTACACTCCCAAGAAAGCCCTGCAGTAAACCCTATAACAGATCTTGATCTTGAGTTTTAAAAACAGAAAAGGTTAATGCATAATTCCTCGTAATGTTAGAAGCCTACTTCAAAAGGATAAAATGGATCAACTTAAAGTCCGGATTGCACAATCTGATCGAGATATTTTAATACCAGCAGAGACCTGGCTTAGGCAACCTATACGTGATGAAGATGCGGCCTTAAATAATTTTAATCTTTGAAGAAACAGAGAATCGAGAGGAGGCAGAGTAGCTATTTATATAAAGTAAATATACAAGCCACCTTATTAACTGCAGTCTCCAAAAGAAAAATACTTTGGAGTTCCTAGCTCTAAAAGTGTCCCTTGGGAAAATAGCTCTTATTTTGGCTGGGATACACAGGCCTCCCTCTGCTCTGTCTTCTGCACTTGATAACAATATACCGCTTCTGAAATGCTGTCTAATGCGTCTGATTACTTAAAGGAAACGTGGAAATCTTACCCTCACACAATTAGTCACGGAATCAACATGGCCAAATCTGAAGGACCCCACCAAATCTACCCTGATTGAGAGACCACTGGCTTACGTTCAGACAACTGAGAAATAAATGCACCTCTGCAGTTAGAAAGGCCAAATCAGATTATTATCTCGGCCTGATTATCAGCTCTACAAACACTCTAAACTTTTGACAACTGTAAAATCCCTTAAAAACAATTTCTCTACCCTTCCAACCAGTGTTATAGTTGATGGACAGCTGACATCTGATCAGAAGGAACTTTTTTTTTAGTTATTAAACATGATTCAAATCTGCTGTTAGGTCAAACTGATATAAACTCTGTTACCAAGAGCCATGGTCTCTTCACACTCCAGCTTTTCTCTCCAAACACAGTAGCTAAATCTCTTACTACTATTAATTCCCAAAAAACTACTGGTGAAGAGATGGCATGGACCCTTACTTCCTGCGTCTAGCAGCCCCAGTTATTTTAGAACACATGACATATATTTTTAATCTCTCTGTTTTATCATTCAGAATTCCCAGGATATGAAAAATAACATATATAACTCCACTGCATAAAGGATGTGAGGCGGCAGATGTAAATAATTACAGACTAATCTCAAAATTATTCTGTTTAGCTAAAATTTTAGAATTTCTAGTTAATAGTCAACTTAAATCATTTCTATATGAAAATTCTGTCCTCTTTAATTATCAATCTGACACAGCATCATCTCTGCTACCGGACTGGTTTTAAATGATCTCTATATATCCAAAGTCAAGAAGAAGTATTGTGCTGCCATTTTTATTGATCTATCAAAAGCTTTTAATACAGTTGCCCATACTCTTCTTTTAGGGAACTTACAAAAGATTGGTTTTGATACAAATGCACTAAAATGTACCCAAAATTACCTTTCAGACAGAAAACAATGCGTAGCACTGAGGAATTACAAATCAGATTTTTTGACCATATACAAAAGAGTACTTCACGGTTCAATTATTGTCCCAGTTTATTCAATATATATATTAATGAACTTGCTGCCTCTGACTCAGTACACCTGTATGCAGACAACACAGTTTTAAACTGTTCAGCTGACTCCTACATTGAAAGAGTCACAGAGTAGAAATACCTTGGCATGTGGCTGGATGATAAACTCACTTTTAAATCCCATATTAATAAACTGGTTGGCAACAGTGGTATTTATTTTCTATACAGAAATAAATCCCATTTCCCCTTGCATGCAAGAAAAAGAATTGTTGAGGCAACCTTACTATCTGTTATGGACTACGGTGATGTAATTTCCAAACATGCATCTGCCAGTTCGCTCAAATCACTGGACTCAGTCTATCACTCTGCACTGGGGTTCATCACTGGAGACCCGTGTAACACTCATCACTGCAGGCTGTATGAAAAAGTTGGCACTCACT